ATTCAATAAAGTTAATATCTAGCATAATTAGCTAGATGCTCCAATTAATATGTATAACATGCGTGCAATGCTTTTCGATTATAAAAAAATGTACAATTTTTGTCCTGCTTTTATTATGAAAATGACTCCATTCTGAACATTTTTTGAACAATATTGACAAAAACGAAACAAAAACAGAACAAACTTTTTTTATAGGGCTACCACATTATGTTTAGCAGAGTTTTGAGTTAACTTTATCAAAATTATATTTACGAAACGTTAACAGATAATTAATTAAATTTACGGTTACCAGAATTACTAATTAATTTACCTACATTATATTTACCAGATTACAAATTAATTATATCTGATATTTACCAAAATTAATTCTACCAAAACTATGCTTAAGATACCAGAGTTACTATTTATGTTTACCAGAGTTACGAACTAATTCTATCAACATTATATTTACGAGCTAATCCTACCACATTTATGTTTACCAGAGTTTTGAGTTAACTCTACCAAAATTATATTTATGAGTTAAACATTAATTAATTAAATTCTACCAAATTTATGGTTACCAGAATTACTAATTAATGCCATTGGATACTAACAGATCGCATCCCTTGTCCAGTGCATGATTAATTCAACCAACATTATGTTTACGGTTACGAATTATGTTTACCAGAGTTACGAATCAATTCTACTAAAATTATGCCTTTCAGAGTTATGAATTAATTCTACCACGATATGTTTTGTTTAACAAAGTTACGATTTAATTCTACCAACATTATGTTTACCAAAGCTGCTACCAAAATTATGCTTAAGGTACCAGAGTTACGATTTAATTATCTGTTAGATTCTGCCAAATTTATGTTTACCAGAGTTACGAACTAATTCTACTAACATTATATTTATCAGAGTTACAAGCTAATCCTAATTCTACCCAAATTTTATAAAAATAAAAGTAAACATTACGTTAATAATCTAATGCAATAAATTTATTTCAAGCAAAATTAAATATAATTCTGGGCGTAACTCTAGGTAAAATTAACTTTTTTTTTTCTATTTTATCTTAATACATATAAATGGACTGTATATGGGCAATATTCAAAACAACAGATGTCTTCATAAGATAAACATGATTTAATCATTTTTTAAAAACTAAATACAATATAAAAAAATATTTTAGAGCGATCAGAATTATGCACCGCAAAATTCTGGACACTCTATACACCACTTCCAGAATTTAATGCCAAATATTTTTGCTTAAATTATATAATTTAATTTTGTCTGAAACTATGCCGACTTTTCCCAGAATTATATTTAATTTTGCTTGAAAATTTTGCCTTGAATTATGCCTAATTTTGCCCGGAATTATACTTAAAATTTGTCTAAATTTTTATATCCAGAATTCATACTTATTTTTGCTTTAAAATCTATTTAGAGAACGAAAGATAAAAAACCTGTCTAGATTAACTGGATCAATATGTGATGACCTTTAAATTCAAATTGAAAAATTATCTTACTTTTTGATTATTTTTTTCATTTGGCATAATTTCATCTTCAATTTCATCATTTGCTAAATTATTGATTATTTAATTTTAGAAATTTCAAGATAAAAATATAATTACAGAATATACATGAGTATTGCATTATTCCTTGGAGTTTTTTTAATTTTTGGTAGTTAATTTGTAACTCTGGTAAATATAATCTTGGTAGAATTAACTCGTAAACATAATTTTGGTAGAATTAGCTCGTAACTCTCGTAAACATAATAATTAAATCATAACTCTGGTACCTTATTTTGGTCGCAGCTTTGGTAAACATAATGTCGGTAGAGATAAATAACAACCCTAAAAATACATACCAGTCTATAAAATTGCAGTAGCCAATCAAATTTCAAGACCAGGTGTAATGTGGAAAACATATCAGGCTGTATGTAATTAATTATTCGACATTCTTTTGTTCATATATTTGACAATTGCTGACGAAAAATCAACAAATCGTATAATGAAAGAATTAATCACATGTTTAAAAATATATTTCAGCAATTACTCTCCACAAAGAAAAATTATGTAAAAGTCAGGGTAATAAGTTTTTTTTGCTATGAAAAAAAAATGCAATTTTTAATTGAATTAAATTATACTCTTTTCAAAATGCAATAACATGCCTAAGCTTAGTATAATTTATTAATACAGATTTTTAAAACAACTCAAATTTAGGTTTTAAAATAAACAACATCATGAATGCTTCGACCCACTTAGAATGTTCTGTTAACTTGTCAAATTTATTGCTCAAACGTTTTGTAAGACCTTTAATCACAAATTCAATCCAATCAGCTACAGTAAGCGGGGATAATTCATCATTACTGAATGTACATATCAACTCATTGAGCAAGAACTCGTATGGTTCGGTTTCATGGCTTCTCCACCATTCCTCACAGCTATTAATATACGTTACCCTAAGGTTGTTATGTAGACGGAGTTGAGCGACAAGATAATATATGCTATATGACTTTCCTAAACCGGAAGGTCCGAATATATATAAACCTCTAGATTCATTCTGTTCTTCGATTGAATCTATAACTTTACGGAATATTTCAACGCAATTTCTTCTACAAATAAAAGGTAGTTTTCCTTCTCTAATATGAATGCGATTTTGAAACTTATTTTCGCTTAATCGTGGTAGATTAATAATCTCTGAATTTTTATAATTAACAGTAAGTTCTTCTTTAACATCAATAAGTTCCTTACTAATAAGAAGCTTCTTAAGTTCATCATTATCATTTTTTGTTTTTTGAATAATGTTGTCAACAGGGTAAATGAGAAAAGATCGTTCTGGCTGCGTTTTTTTAACCTTTTTTCTTTTAAGAGTTGGTAGATTAATTTTGTCTAACTCTACCGTAGAGAGGGTCCTTTTTAATTTTTTTTCGATCATATCACTTGACGAACCTTCGTCATTATCTAAAAGGGTTTCGGTTTTTTTTGATTTCTTAGTTTTGGTTGCCATATTAAAGATCGTTGCTTTATCATTATGACCTTAAATAAAAAACATCGTGGGAATTTTTTTGTAATCAACCAATCAATACACATTAGAGTTTGAACCCGGTTTTATTTTTCATATGGGACCCCTGACATTCGTCTGATTGGCTGATGTAATCAATTGCCCGAGTAACTTATTTATACACTTTAAAGTACTTTTCAAGAACGTAACGCTTCACTAATAAAAAAAAAACACTGCAAAAGCCATTTTTCACTTCGATAAAACGTCTATATTCACTATGTAAAAAATAATCAAAAATAATTAGTTTCCCCATGAACTTCACTTAGAAGCGAGTATTTTTACTATTTACTGCTAATAGTTATATTACCATATTTAAGTTCTAAATGCTGAAAACGAATGATTGACAGTAAAGGATAATTTTTTCAACAGACAGTCTAAATCTTCTTTAGATAATTTTTTTTTAGTCGAGGTTGTAAACACAAATGATGCTACTTTTAATAGGACTAGAAAAATAATAAATAGTTATAAGGCAGGCACTGCCTGATAACGGATTTATCGGGTAGCTTACTATAATTTTCTGCTCAATGATTTATTATTGGGCAGAAACGATATTTAAACTATTTTAAACTTTTTTTTCTGCCCAATAATAAAATTATTGGGCAGATAAATCATAGTGAGCTGCCCGATAAAAGTTATTATCCGGCATTTACACTAACGAAAGAAAGCATTAAAGTCCAATGTGATTTACTATTAAACTTTGGTCACATCTCTATTAAGTATTATTTTAAAACCGAAATCACGTAATATTAAAAATCATATCAGTCGCATTTAGTGAAAAAAAAAAAAATCATATCGTGTCGTTCACTCCACCGACAGTCATTTCACCGGAAATTAATTTATCGGACACCACAAGGTAGGTTAGCATTTTTGCAGGTACGTACGTACATACGTATGCATTTATATATATATTTTTAGTAAAAACACTTGGCATGATGTTGGCTAAATGAGCTGTCGGTGAAGTAATGTGGATCCCTCAATAACTGCCTATCGCTATTTAAAATTTAAAATTTTTCTGATATTAATTCTACGGATTCATAGAAATAAAAATTCTGATGCTATCTCAAAAAATTTGATTATTTGATACTACAAAATTTTTTTTATGGTCGCCTTGGATGATTCGGTGTATTTTCTTAAAAACTAATATTTCAATAATAATTGAATAAAGTAAATAAGTAAATAAAATATTTTACACGTTTGTGATAATTTATTTGTTTAGAATCGCATGAAAAATTTTTTTACTTAGTTTAATTATTACTTTAAGGCGGCATCCATAATTTACGTTAAACCAGTATTGTTATAGAAATCTTAAAGATAATATAAAAATAATACCATATGGTATTATCATCAAGATCCCTATTTCTATACAATACAGTACTGGTTTAACGTAAATTATGAATACCGCCTTAAAACATCCAACAATTGGCATGACATCAAAAATACAAAATTAGATAATCATCCTATTTCGTATATATAAGACAGCTATTACAACGAGCTTTGGTCAGTGCAGCAGTGTATATAGAGATCTATAATTAGCAAGATTATAACAAAATTAGTAGTTCACATTTCTAAGTTTATGAAATCATTATCAAAAAAAATAATAGTAAATTATAAACCAATCTTATAAAGTTGCTTTGTTTTGTTATAATTGTTTACAACGTTGGAAATTTCAGCATTTTTTTCATATTCTTTGACTTCATTAACTAGACATTTATGTTCCAAACGTAAATCATGACTAAATTCTTTAGCGTTAACTAAAAAAAAAGCAATTAGAACGCTTATTAACTACTAAAATTTCACATGTTATTATTGATTGAATATTACCTTGATGTAAATTAAAATTTAATTTTGAGTCATTTTTTCTGAAATTTAAGCCTGATTGCCGTGCTAATGGACTTATAATTATCAATATCATTTTTCACACGATTAATTCTTCTACCAGTGTATGATTTTTTTGAAAAACGTTTCCTTTAAAATTCACTAATATGTTGAACATCAATTTATTATTAGACAAATTGATTCATAACTTTATTATAATTCAGTGACCAACATTTTTACCTATTTTCTTTATATAAAGAGCCTTGCTTTCCTGTTGAACAAAGTTAACCTTATGAATGACATGCTTTGAGCTGCTCATATTATTGTTTCAGTCAGTTTTACTATTATTATTCTTTCTATAAAAAGCCTTAAATTGCTTTGGGTCATTCAGATAATTTTTTCGAGTAAACCTTCTCATATGAGTACTTAATTGGCTTTCCTGTTGAACAATGTTAACCTTATTCCTGTCACCCGCTTTAAAAGATTCAAAGATTATAAATGCTATGAATTTGTATTTCGATAATGCATGTTAATTGAAAAAAATATAACTTTCTTACCTTGGCACTGAACAGTATTTTCTAAAACCATAATATACACGTTTTTTCAATAACAAGATATTCAAAAAAGGATCTGTCTTGCCATAAACAAAAAGTATAAGTGAGAATGAGCGAGTCAATTTATCAGATTTCTGTTCGATGAATTCTCGTGTAAACAAGACAAATGGGTTATAATATTATTACAAAAGATTTGCATATAAAGTATATCAATATATATCAGATATAATGTACTATATAAATATATATCCTATATAGATGCGTACTGTATAACCTATTAGGCCCGATTAGTAAAAAAAACTGGTTGTACAGCAAAATAAAGTATATTATATGAATTAACGTTAATATAAAAAGATAAAGGTAATTAACAATAGAAATTTCTTTAAAAAAAAACAAGTTTAAAAATATATAGGATCTACAATAGTTTAAAACTTGCCTTGTATACTGTATCTATTTATTAAAATAATATATCAGATACAATATAGATATATATTATAGTTTACTATGCATATATTAAGACTTGATTATGGTGCATTTTTCGCAGTATTAAATAAAATATATATAAGTCTGAGTATATATGCTATTTAAGTTAAACAATAAGATATATATATGATAAAATAATTCTTACTGAGTACACGTGAAATTATTAAAGTAATTAGAAACTTGTAAAAATATGAGCACGCAACTTTCAAATCAAGAAAGCCCTGAACAAGCTATACGAAACCATTTGCTCAAGATTAACGTCTTGTTATTGCTTCCAGAGTTCTTATTTTTAGAGTATGTTTAATTTTAAATCTTAAAAATTATAACATTACTTTAGAAAATTATCTTTTTTTTTTTTTTTAGCTAAATTCATATTTTTTTTTCATTTTAGGTATTAGAATTTATCTTTGGATTATCAATTAGATCTTTAGAAATTTTATTCCTGTAAATTCTATTTTTTTATTTATTGTTATTTTGCTTTGCTTCGATATAGTAATGTTCTTTTTAATGAAATTTTATAGCTATGAAGTGGCAAATGTCTACAAAATGAATTTCTTAATGGTTGGTTTTTTTGCATTGCTACCTTTATTATCCAACAAGAAAATAATCATAGATGTTGTGTTCATTTTAAGAGTTGCGATTTTAATGTGGAATTAGTATTCATTCGTTAACTTTGTCTGATTTTCTTATTTAAATAATGACAAATTCGAATTACATTAGATGGTCTTGTTTATTGGGTATATATATATAAGCACTCATTAAGTTTTTTGACTCGAGTACGATACCAATCATTTTTACATTTACAGTCTTATTTGAAATTGAATTTAATATTCATATCCATTGTTTAGCACAATCAGGATCTTTTCGTAAAAGTTTAGGACATACACTTTTTTGATTTATCTGCATTTTTTTCATCAATTGGTCATTTTTAAATTTCATTGGCTTCGCTATCCTTGTTCGGTATTTTGAATTGAGCTACATTGGATGGTTTTGTTTAGTAGGTATATATATCTAATTTTCATCAGAATTCTTGAATCAAATACTGTACTATATTAATAATTTTTATTATTTGTAGTCTTATTTGGTGTTGAAAATAATATTTATCATTTTGCTCAGTCGGGATCTCATGATACTTATGACATCATGGCATACTTTTTATTTGTTCATTCATTTTGTCTATTGTAATTTATTATTAATTTTAGAAAAGTTGAATTCATAAATTCAATAGCATTTTAATTTGCCTTCTGAAAATAAAGAATTTTATGTTTTATTTTCCTACTTTTTTAAACATATATCCGGATTTAGAACAAGATAATTTTAAGCATTTAAAATCTAACTTTAGAATCTAACTTTAAACGATTAATACTAGTACACCTCTGATTTAATTTATCATGTGATGCATGTGATAGTAGATGGGTGGCTCGTGCAATTTTTTTTATAAAATCATTTTTTAATTTAAAAAAATTGCACAAGTCACCCATCTATATAATAGAGACTAAAGTTTATAAATTAAAAAATGATACAAACTTATTGGTTTAATTCATTCAATTACAGAATTAAACTTTACTCCAAAAATTTTTAAATTTACAGCAAAATAAAAAAAATTCATCTCAAAAGTAATCAAAATCGCTATGCATAAATATCTTTGAGATGTATTGTGTATTCAAACAGCTTTAATTTTAAATTGAATATGCGCCAAATAGATTTAGTATTAACTTAAGTTAGTTCAAAATTCTTTGACAATTTGAGTGAAAATAAACTTTAATTCAAATTGAGTAGATTTTAGATTTCATTCGATATACACTATATATTTATATTACATGTCCGTAGATAAATTTTATTTTAATGTTGACACATTCAGAATACTCAACATCTTGGTATGTTTAAAAATTTATGAAAAAGACTGTTCGACGGATCGTGAACACAGATTATCATAAGCACAACAATGATTTATAACTATGAGAGTAGGGCGACCCGTTATATAAATTCAGCTCAAATTAAGTCTTAATTTAGGTTGACTATTTTCGCAAATCTACATATTTATTTTTGAGCTTTCATTCTGTAAAATTGAAATATTCAATTTTAAACAAAGGTAAAAAGAACAACTAACATATCAAGATAATCCAATAACTATCACAAAAATACAAAGAAACATTGCACTTGATTATAATCCAATCGAATACAATTTGTGACGAGATAGAAAGTAAGGATGTTAAGCTGTTTATCAGATTTTAAATCAAATATATTAAGCTCACGGTGAAATGCTTCAGAAAGTTTAAGGTTATCACTAACATTATAAGACATATTCGTATATATAATAGGTTAAATATTGAACATTTAGGAAGTAAATAAATTATCTTTTAGGTTCTAAATTAAAATTTAGAACCTTTTTTTTTTTTTACCTATATTTAATAGTTGTTTTTTTTTTTTTTGAATCGCAAATATTGATTTTTGGAAAAAACTTTATTAATTCATTCTCATCATAATACGTATTTAAAATTTGACTATTCAGTCTTATTTGTAGGTCATTTTAGCGAAATCAGAATTTATAGAGCATGCATCTTATTTGCCTGTTATCATTTACTATTAGTGTCTATTCGAAATTGATTTAGATAGTTGAATAAAATTATTGATTTATTTTAAATCTGTCTCTTTTCTTGTTCCACACTGATGTTTATCTGCTAGCTTTTCCTACAGAATTTTTTTTAATATTGACACCTTGAGGGATTGGAATCAGTGTTCGAAATTAGTGTTCTCAGAGGTCTTATGAGAACACAAATTTGTGATTGAGAACAGCTGAAAGCCGATTTTTTATATTGGAGAACACTCAAAAATTGACTCCAAAAATACTAAATAGAACATGAGAACACTAATTTAGTCTCAGATTTCGAACACTGATTGGAATTAATACTGAATATTTTTCGGGAATCATTGTGTTAGTCAGGAATCAGGCCAATCAGAACACAGAAACCAGAGGCTCAAATCATAAATTTGTTGGATAATCTTAACAAATCATGTAATTTACAAGTCAACAGCTAACTACGCAAAAGTGATTTTTTATTATTGTAAAGAGCAAATATCATTATTCTTTAAGGTTTATTTTAGTGACAATCTAAGCAATTGATAGAACAGATAAAGTAAACTAAAACGCCTTTATATGTTATGTTATAATTTTTTGGTTTAAAATCTAATAAATATTTTATTAAGTGGCAACCTTGCATCTTTAACAACTTATAAGATAAAGCAGATTTTATTTTTTTGAGATTTCGAGTTTTTTTTTTAACTATTTTTGTTCCAGCTTGTGTTCCTTGCCTAATTATTTTAGTAGTAATATTTGGAAATTGGGTTTTTTTTTTTTCATGTCTTATTATTAAATTCCTGCAATTAAATCTTTTTATATACTGAATTATAATAAATTTGTTATTAATTCTTGCAAGAATGAACAATCATAAACTCTTAAAGTCAATAAAAAAAGAAACAAGTAACGATGAAAAAAAAGAAAAACCAAGCGTACTCCAAGATATGAGTAGTAAACCCACTATTTTCGAAGGATTTCTTTCAAAGCTTCAATCGGCATTTCAACATTATCAGGTTTGGGGAAGGACATTTCATAACTGCGCATGAAACCTGCTGTATTGAAAAGTTTAGGACAGTATTCAGGAGGTTTTGACATAACACTAAAAATAGCATTCATATTAATGATTACTATTATTATATGATGATAAAAATTTGAAAAAAATTAGACATATGTACATGGAATTTCTAAATTTTTGGGTGAGTGCGTTTTTGCCCTAGATATTAGCATATGATAATTTACAAATTTTGTCAGAGTTGGATCCCGGCCTTTAAAGCGGATTATTATTAGTTATAAGTAATGTTATCCGATAGCTTACTATGATTTGTCTGCCAAATAAATTTATTATTCAGCAGGAACTATAGTTGCCGAATAATAAAATTGTTATTGGGCAGACTATCGTCGTAAGTTACCGGATAAATCTGTTATCATTCATGCAGATGCTTTATAACTTAATTATTTGGTCAAAATTTTAAGATTAGTCTA